CGGACGAGGGGACCCTGCCCAGTCCAGCTGAGTCGCCGCCCCTGCAGTTGCAGCAGCCGCAGCAGCCGCCGCAGTCGCAGCCTTCGCAGCAGCCGCAGCAGCCGTCGCAGACGCGGCAGACGAGTGTTCTCCCGCCAGGGTGGCCCGGCGCTGGCGGTGGACGGGCGCGTGGTGGTGTGCCGCGAGGTGGCTCTTCCGGCGGGCGTTGTCAGTACCAGATCCAGACCGGTCCTCGCCGCGGTTTCGTTTGCGGTAAGATCGGTCACTCCACTCCCCGCTGCTTTCGTCGCCTGGACGACCTCTTTCGTCAGCGTTTCGGCCCGTCGCCAGACCTCCCGGACTGGCACAGTTTGCTTAGTCGTCAGATTCAGATCTTTGATATGGACATGGATGCCATTGTTTCTGCTCTGCATGTGATGTATGCTGATGACTCTAGTGTGCTTCCGACTTATTACTCACTGTTGCCTAGTGTAGGTGTGCCTAGCTTAGCCCCCCTGCTGCGTCAGGCGTAGGATCCCCTGCTTTGTGTAGTCTTGGTGCTTCTGTCGTCGTTCCGTCGCCAGACCCCTCGGCTTCGCTTTCCTTCACCTTGGACTCTGGCGCCTCTCGGTGTTTCTTCCGCGACTCCACCACCCTGACGCCGCTTCCTGTTCCTGCTGCCGTTTCTCTTGCTGACCCCTCCGGCGGCCCGGTAGTCGCCCGCAGTTCCACCACCCTTCCCTGTCCGGCGGTTCCTTCGGGCTCTCTTACAGGTCTGCATATCCCCTCGTTCTCCAGGAACCTAGTTGGTGTCGGCTGCCTCCAGGACCTTGGCGTCACCACTACGTTCCCTGGTCACGAGCGGTATGCTGTCTGTACCGAGGCCGCCACTGGTGCCCCCCTGTCCACGTTCCCCCGGGACCCGGTGTCCGGCCTGTTCACTCTGGACACCGTGCCCCCCCCGGCTAGAGCGCCCCCTCAGGTGGCTGTGTCTACCCAGGTTGCTGCTGCCTGCTCCTGTCGCTCCCTCACTCACCCGACCCTCCTGTGGCACCACCGCCTAGGTCACCCTGCGCTCCCGCGTCTGCGTCACATGTCCCAGCACGGTCTTGTCCTTGGTCTCCCAGGTTCACTCCCCGCGTTTCCCTCCTCCCCAGCTCCACCTTGCACGCCTTGTGTCGAGGGTCGGCTTCGTCGTGCCCCTCACTCCTCCTCGTTCCCCCCTACCGTCGCGCCGCTGCAGACCCTGCACGTGGACGTCTGGGGCCCCGCCCCCGTCCCTGGGCCGCGTCGCGAGCGCTACTTCCTTGTGCTTGTCGACGACTTCACTCGTTACACCATAGTCTTTCCCCTGGAGCGCAAGGCCGACGTGCCTGGCGCCCTCATCCCCTGGCTTGTCTCTGCGCGTGTCCACCGCGGTCTCCCTGTCTTGCGTCTTCACTCAGACCGTGGTGGCGAGTTTGCCTCAGGTGTCCTTGGTCGCTTTTGTCGTGCGGAGGGCATCACCCAGACGTTCACCCTACCGGACTCCCCACAGCAGAATGGGGTCGCTGAGCGCCGCATCGGCTTGGTCATGGAGGTCGCTCGCACCTCCATGGTCCATGCCGGTGCACCCCATTTTCTGTGGCCGTTCGCTGTGCGCTACGCTTCTCACCAGCTTAACCTGTGGCCGCACCCTCAGCAGCCGCAGGTTTCGCCGACCCGTCTGTGGACTGGGTCTGCGTTCCACGTCTGGGGCTGCCTTGCTCACGTCCGTGCCTCCGGCACGGACAAGCTCACTGCCCGCACCCTTCCCTGCGTCTTCCTCGGTTTTCCCCTTGACGCGTCCGACTGGCACTTTTACCACCCGCCGTCTCACCGCTTCTTTCACTCTCGTGACGTCACCTTTGACGAGTCCGTCTCCTACTACCGCCGCTTCCCCCACCGTGGTCCACCGGTTACCCCCCCCCTGTTCCTGGTCACCCCTTCCCCGGTAGTCCCTGCCCCTCCTCCTCCTCCTCCCCGTCCCGCCCCCTCTGGTGTCTCCCATGTCACCCCCCTTCCATCCGTGGACCCGGTTGAGGAGTCTTCTGACTCTGGTGGCCCTCCGGTGCAGTCCTCGCCGGCCGCCCCTCCCCAGGTGTCCCCTCCCCAGTTCCCTCCTCCGCCGTCCCTGCCGCCACTGCAGCCGTCGCCGTCGCCGCCGCCGCCGCCGCTGCCGCAGTCGCAGGCCCCGTTCGCTGACTCTGGGGGTGCTCGTCCCGGTCCCCCTGAGGGTGGTCCCTCTGGGGGTGCGGGTGTGGAGCGTGCCGGTGGTAGCCGAGGAGCAGCTTGCGGTCCAGGTGTCGCCGTTGTGCCGCCGCAGCAGCAGTCCCCGCCGGTGTCCGCCCTTCGCCTGCTCGGCCTTCCGTCCCCCGACCCTGCGTCGGTTCCTCCCCGACCGTCTCCTCCTCTTCCTGTCTACGGCCCTGTTTTCCCTCCGCCGGACTCGTCCCCGGCCCGTCTCCCCCCTCGTTCACCTCCTGTGTCCCCTCCCCTGTCTCCTGACCCGACTCCTCCATCGCACGTCTGGTCTCACCGTCCCTCCCGTGCTCGTCCTGCCTCGCCTGTCCTGCGCTCCCACCCTATGTTGCTTCGTTCACACGCGTCTCGTCCTCCCCTTCTGCCGTCGCCTCCTCCGTCCTCCCTTGTTGTTGCGCCTCCCCCGCTGTCCGACTACCTTCGTGCCGCTCGTCCCCTCGTTCCTCGGGTCCTTGCCTCTCTCGTTACCGACCCGTCTGTTCCTGTCTCGTGCCTTGACGCTCTTGTCGCTGCTGTCGCTGACTTCGCCTCTACCCGGCGCCTTGACTACGCCACCGCTCTGGTCTCTGACCCTGCCTGTCCTCCGTCTGTCGGGGGTGCTCCTGCCCTTGGCAGTGACGTCCTGGAGGACCGCCAGTTCGAGCTTGCTTTCCTCTCCGAGGCTGCTCCCCATCTCTGTTCCATGCTGCTAGTCCCTGAGGGTGACCCAGACGCTTTCGACATCCCGACCCCTCGCACTTACGCTGAGGCGACTTCGGGACCCTGGGCCTCGCAGTGGATAGCTGCCATGGAGCAGGAGATGGCATCTTGGAGATCCACCGGCACCTTCGTCGACGCAGTTCCTCCACCTGGGGTGAACGTAGTCGATGGCCGCTGGCTCTTCAAGGTGAAGCGCCCTCCTGGAGAGCCGCCTGTCTTCAAGGCGCGCTATGTGGCTAGAGGCTTCAGTCAGCGCGAGGGGGTGGACTTCTTCCAGACTTTCGCTCCGACCCCGAAGATGACTACTCTTCGGGTTCTGTTACACCTAGCTGCTCAGCGTGACTACGAGCTTCACTCTCTCGACTTCTCCACTGCCTTCCTTCAGGGCAGCCTACACGAGCAGGTCTACCTGCGCCGCCCTCCGGGCTTTACTGGCACCTTCCCTCCTGGGACCCAGTGGCTCCTGCGGCGCCCCATCTACGGCCTGCGCCAGGCTCCCCGTGAGTGGCACGACACTCTGCGTGCTACGCTTGCTGACCTGCAGCTCTTTCCGTCTTCTGCAGACCCTTCACTCTTCGTTCGTGCTGGCCAGACTCCGTTCTACATCCTCGTCTACGTCGACGACCTGGTCTTTGCCACAGCTGACAGGGACGCGCTGGCCTCCGTGAAGGCAGAGCTGCTGAAGAGACACACCTGCACTGACCTTGGAGAACTGCGCCGTTACCTTGGCTTGCAGATCTCCAGGGACAGAGCTGCGCGCACCATCACCCTGACTTAGTCACACTTGGTGCGCCAGGTCCTTCAGAGGTTCAGCCTTCAGTTCTCCTCTGCACAGCCCACCCCTCTGCCTGTAGACCACAGGCTCTCCGCTCCAGTGCCTGAGGAGTTGGTAGAGCCCAGCGGCCCCTACGCAGAGCTGGTGGGTTGCCTCATGTACCTGATGACTTGCACTCGCCCAGATCTCGCATACCCTCTCAGCATCCTGGCTCGCTTTGTGGCCACAGGCAGACACCGACCGCAGCACTGGTCTGCCGCTAAGAGGGTTCTGCGTTATCTTGCTAGTACATCGGGCATGGGGTTAGTGCTAGGAGGACGCAGGCCAGCGGTCCTTACTGGGCACACAGACGCTTCGTGGGCAGACGACGCTGAGACACTCCGGTCTACCCAGGGCTACTGCTTCAGCCTTGGCTCAGGTGCCGTCTCGTGGAGAGCTACTCGCTCCTCGTCTGTTGCACAGTCCAGCTGTGAGGCTGAGATCTACGCCGGTGCCATGGCGGCACAGGAGCTCCGCTGGCTGACCTTCTTGCTCACTGACTTAGGTGAGCGACCTAGCTCTGCCCCGGTCCTGTTCGCTGACAACAGGGCCATGATCCTCCTGGGTCAGGAGCCTCGACTCGAGGGCAGAGCGAAGCACATTCAGCTGTGGTACTTCCTCCTGCGTGAGCTACAGCAGCGACGTCAGGCTCGCGTAGTACACTTGGCCTCAGGTGCCAACACGGCTGATATCTTTACGAAGGCGCTTGCGCCTAAAGATCATCAGCGGCACTGTGTACAGCTTGGTCTAGTTCCTGTAGCCTCTCACTTGCTAGGACCTTGACTTTGTACTGTCCTTTATATGTATACACAGACTGGACTTGTGTCCTCTCCCAGTGGCTGGACTAGTAGTGCCGCCCTGCTCTTTGCTTGCCTTGTCTGTACTCCTTCTGACTGGTCGCTCAGACCCTTGTCTCAGAGGTTGGACTAGTAGTGCCGCCCTGAGCTGTTTGTTTATGACTTTCCCCTATGCAGTCTAGGGGGTGTGTCAAACATGTCTATTTGTTATGTTTGTATAGACTGTATAGGGTAGCCTCTTAGAGGGTACAACACTTAGCTATATTGTGTGTACTCTCCCTCTATCACCATCATTCAATTTTTTGATACCATGCCCCTCACACGTGCTCTAGCTCGCCTTGCACATAAGTTTCAGATTCAGGGCGAATTTCGAGTAAGGCTGATTCGTCAGGCTCGGTAAAACAAGAACATACTATTTTTCAGGCCTTAGAAAATGGGAACACATAAATTTCAGGTTTGATAAAAATCAAAACCTGAAAAATAAAGGTATGCTTTAAAAAATACCCTGATATACAGGCTTTCAGACCTTTTTGGCTTGACTTCTGAGGCCCTGCTGGGGAGGCATTCCTCGGGGAAGGTGGATATATGGAGCCTAACCCTCCTGATGACATCCCTTCTTGTCCCAGTGGTTAGGACTGGTGACTTTATGACTATGAAAACCATACATTTGTGTGCGTTTCCTGCAGCACTTTCAGTCCCAGCCCAGACAATTAGATCCTTCCGATAGAATCTCAACCAAGCCCACAAAGTCTTGCACCACGAACTCAGCACAATTCACATCATCACAGCCCACAACTCACTCCCCATCTGCATCTTCCCCCCCACCAGCAGCACCTTCCTCTCCCTCCTTGCCCCCTTCCTGTGCCGCCATGTGCCTCTGCACCAGCCGCTGCAGATCCGACATCACCTTGTGCTCCCTCTTCGCCTTCTCCTCATAGTTGAACATCGCCAGAGCCCTCTTATCCTCCGCACTGTACACCTGGTTCTCCTTACGAATACGGATAGCATTCATCCTCTGGTGCCTGCTTCCACTCATCACATACCCGAGGTCTTCAAACTTAGAAATCTCGTCCGCGGACAGACCCACCTCACCACGCCGCGGGATACGCTTCCCCTGCTGCACGTACTGCGCAATGGCGTCTCCTTCTCCCGGACGCAGCGCCCCTCCGTAGCTGATGTGCCCCTCCGCCTTGGGCGCCGGCGCAGGCCCCACGAAGGGCTCGGCGTCCATGGCGGCGAGCTGCGCGCGCTTCTGCTCCTCCACGTACTGCTTGAACATCAGCACCTCAGGGTCCATCTCGTCCTCGCCCTCTCCGTCCTCCCCGTCCCCTTCCCCCTCCCCCCCGCTCTCCCCGCTCCCGCTCTTCCCTCCCCCTCCGCTCGCCCTCTTGGCCCGCTTCTTGTCCCCACCCTCGCTGTCGCTGTCACTGCCGCTGTCGCTCGCGTCGCTCGCGTCGTCGCTGGACGACTCTTCCTCGTTCGAGCTGCTCTCGTCCTCTGACGACGATTCGTGGCGGCTGCGACGTCTATGCCTGCTGCCCTTACTGCTGCTGCGCGTCTTCCGCTTCTTCTTGCTCTCCTTGCCACTCCGCTTCTTCCCACGCTTCTTCTTCTTGCTGCTGCTGCTGCTCTTCCGCTTCTTCCCCTTCCCTCGCTTCCTCCGCCTTTCCACCTCCGAGTCACTACTCTCCTCCTCGTCACTATCATCATCACTCTCGCTCTCCTCGTCACTCTCCCCCCCACGTTTCCGTCCCTTGCCCTTGCTCTTGCTCGTGCTCTTGCTTGGTTTCTCCGCCTTCTTATCGCTCACATCCTCTTCCTTCCCCTTCGCCCTCTTCTTGGCAGCGCCTTCATCCTCCGAGGAACCATCCTCGTCGCTACCCTTCCCATTCTCCGCTGCCTCCTTCTCACCGCCGCTCGCCCGCTGCGTCTCACCCGTGTCCGCCTTTTCCCCCTTACCTCCCCCGCGGCCGCCCTTCGCATCCTCCGCCTCATCCTCCCCCTCGCGCTCACCAACCGCCCCCACATCCCCGTTCGCCAATCCACCCTTCTCCTTCTCCCTCTCCTTCCCCTCATCCCCACCCCGCCCTTCGCCGTCACTTTTCTCCCTCTCATCATCCTCCGATCCGCTCCTGCTCCCGCCCTTAGCATGCCCGTTCGCTTCCGCCGGCGGCGCAGCGATCGGCGGGCGGTTCCGAGGCGGGCTGGGCGTGATGCGCCAGAGCAGGCGGCGGTGCAGGCGGCGCATCTTGTCGCGCTTCTTGCAGCGGAACTCCGAGTACTCGAGGCCCTGCAGCTCGGGGTCGTTCTGGTCCTCCAGCGCCTCCCAGTCCTCGTCGCGGCTCGCCGTCCAGTGGTTGTCGCGACGCCCCTCGCCGTGGTGCGAGTGCGAGTGCGAGTGCGACTGCCGATGGTAGTCGTCGTGGGCGTGCGAGTGGGAGGAGTCGCGATAGCGGTCGCCTCCCCCGTGGCTACCGCTATCACGCCACGTCTCCGTGGCCATGAGATCTACCCGGTTGGTGCTGAAACGGAGGTTGTTGAAGCGGAGAGCGTGGAAACGGAAACGGAAACGGAGAGTGCAAGTCTCTGGTTCGGATCTAGCGCAGGTAGGTCACGGTTGCTCCAAGTTGGACAGAAAGACGCGTCACAATAGCATAGGACGACAGATAATCGACCAAGGAGATGGCGTGGTGGAACCGAACCCGTGAAATGCGGCAGTGAAGGAAGGAAGCAGCGTTGCCAGTGTGGCGGGCTAGGGTTAGGTGGGAAACGGAGAGGACTAGGGAATGGAAACTGGGATGGGGGGCTTGCACAGAAAATTAGGGGTTGCGCAGGGAATCATGGGGGGGCTGCGGGTTTCGTTCTAAGTGCAACAGGCGAGGAACTCGCTGTGGAAAGAAAAACGAAGAGAGGTATTTTGGAACAAATAATGTTGTGGATTGCTGAAATGCTGGAACAGAGGGTGTACGCTTTGCTAATTATGTGAGACATACAGCCGAGAGTGATTCAATTGAGATGGGGACAGAGAAAGGCCTGGACAAACTTCTTGGGGAAATTATACGCTGGGTAAGTCTTACTCTTCATTTTCCCGATTTAGTCACTGTTTTCTCAACCGAGTCAATGTTTTATCGAGTCGAAATCAGCAGCGTCAAACTTTTTGTTCAGTTTGATGCCGCATCGCAAAATCTTTCGACAGGTGTCCCAGAAATGCGATGTCTCAAAACATCGAGAGATAAATACTTTAGGGAAATGATAAAAAAGGGTCCTCGCTTTGCCAGAGGCGTTAGCAAAAAAGGTCCGGCTATTTTCTGCTCCAAGGACCTCGACTCTGAACATGAAATACACTTCTTTCTTTGTTTAGTACTTTAAACATTTACGGGACTTTTGCGTTACCATTCAATATTTCTCAACGGGAAAAAAAAACTAAAACCCATAGGGAACGGAATTCCGTTCCAGATGGCATCAACCCTAAACACGCGACCCTTCTGCGAGTTTATGGTTGATGCCACCCCGAGTCGCATGCAGTGCCCTTATGGGTTTTTTTTTTGTGCCCTAATATATTGAATTTGTATAAAGGTCCCACGGCAAGGTTACGATATTATGAACCTGCAAATTTGTTACCCTGTAATGTGTGTGATGTATGACGAATAAGGTGTAGTACAGGCTCGGAGATGAGGTCTCGGGGAAAAAAGCTGCCGGGCCTTTTTTGCTCATGCCTCTAGCAAAGGGAGGACCCTTTTTTTATCATTTCCCAATACTTTTACGTCCAAACTTTAAAGAGAAAACCTCATAGCTCGTAGATGATTTTGTCCCGGTTTACATTTACGCACAGCTCCGCGACGCGTTATTGAGATACAGACATGTCGATTATGGCAGCCTGAAACAAAATAAAACCCGTTGCGCCCCGATATTCGACTTGGGGTGGCATCAACCTTGAAGAGACACAAAGCCGCGAGTTTAGGATTGATGCCACCGCGAGTCGCATGCGGGCTCCGATGGGTCCGAGTCTTGTGGGCATCCTGAAAAACAAAATGTCAGAAATAATGACATAAGTCTAGTTTACACCTTGAAGAGTGGCTTGATAGATTTATGGAACGAAAACAATGTTTTTCCATTCGGGGATTTTTTTAACAACCAGTAAATTTGCACACGTTCAGTTGCGCAATTTGTGTGCGCTTCGTCTGCTCACTGTTTCTAGCAACAAGAAGACAACACTGCGAAATATAATCTACTGCGAAATTTGAGTGTGAGTGAAATCGAGTATAGTTTTCAGATAGATTCTCTGTTTGTTTGTCACTATTCTCTCTATTCTCTGGGATCTCGCCATTTTCGGACACGTGTCGAAAGATTTTGCCATGCGGCATCAAACTGAACAAATGTTTTGATGCTGCTGATTTCGACTCGATAAAACATTGACTGGGATGAGAAAAGAGTGACTGAATCGGGGAAACCTTAAAGTAAGAGTTACCCAGCGTATAATTTCCCAACTTCTTGAGCTGCTGTGGCTTTTACTGTGGGGAGAAACCAGGCCGTTGGATATGCATATGCTGGACACGTGACGGATACTGATTGCTCAACGTCTGTTCCGTTATCTCTTGGCGCACATCTAGCGGAAACCCCCTGACGCCCGTCAGTGTTTTTGTGAGGAGCGCTGCGCAAACATCCAAAGCTGGCGCAACTCCCCAAACTGTCTGTTGGCATCAAGGCTGTGGCGGAAAAAACCCCTGCTGGCGAAAGAAAGCACACTCCGTCATTCGCCAATTCTCCGTTGTCGCGAACTCGAAGCATTCTTCGCGATGGAAAAGTTTGTTTGACGAAACCCCGCCGCAAAGCTTCGCCCGCTCTCCCCCCTTTCCGCGATTCGAACCCGCAATTGAGGCAAACCGCGAAGCGCCTGCCGGCGGGAAGATGGGGGCGGCGGAAGCTGCGACTCATCCCAACTTGAAGAGCCAACCTCGGGATTGGCTGAGCTGAGCTGTGCTGGGGTTTGGTTTGGTGTCCCCCTGTCCCCGCAGCCAGTGGTCCCCTGGGAATGTCGGATCCGCCAGCCTGATGGACGAGAGGCGAGACAAGAAAGAGGCAGTATAGCAGCAGAGCAGCGCGCTGAAGCCAATTTAGCCCATTTCTGCTCCGACCAGCAACAGCAGCAACAGCCCAGAAACAATAGAGCCGCATAACTTTCGACTCCTAGCGTTTTGCAGCTAATCGCCACTTCTTCCTCATATTTTTGCGGGCTGCTTTTTTTGGGACATCAGCGCCTTGTTTTGCGATATCAGCGCCTTTTTTGTGAGAATCGACCTCGTCTGGCCAACGGCATCGGTTATGGGCGAATTTTGGAAGCCGCTCGCGTAACGTTTTTCGTTCGGAGGACGGCCGGGAGCACGACGGCATCTAGGCCACGTGCATCGTGATGTTCGAGCTCATGGACGACTACTCGCAACGCATTTCGCAGACGATATCGGTTTGCGCGGCTGCTGCGATGGCGGCATCCATTGTGGACGAGTTCCAGAAGCGGCGAAGCAAGTACAGGAGCACGACGATCCCTCAGGCCGCTCGCAGCGGAGGTGGCGTTGTCGCCGTCGCCGTCGTCGTTATGTAAGGCTCTTGAAACATTGCGCATCAGTTTCTGCAAACGAGGCTAGCTGAAATTCTAATCGATGCCGTGGTTGTAGTTCAGGGCCTCCGACAATACTCGCCACGGACGCTCGCGCAGACGAAGAGCGGCCATGGCGTCGTCGGACTGAGCAGCTCGGAGTTATTGCTTCCATCTTAATGCGCTGAAGCGCGCCGGACTGGAGCCGATGCTACCGCACGGAGTGTAAGCGTCGCTTTCCTTTCCTTTCCGCCTCGCATTTTTTCCGATTATCTTTTGAGACTCTGACGATGTTCGTTGGCGTGGCGTTTGCAGAACAATTTCTCAAGACGGTAGCAATCGTCACGGCTTTTGGCCAACGAGACCAGTCGAAGTCGTCAACGCGAATCCCTCGTCGACGCGAATCCGTCGTCGACGCGAATCCGTCGTCGACGCGAATCCCTTGTCGACGCGAATCCTTCGTCTTTTTGAAGAGATTAAGGAGAGTAGCTCGCCCCTTGCTCTCTGCTTCGTCCTTTTCTGCTACGCTGGTTGGCATTCGCCTCACGCGTCGTCCATCTTAATGTGTCGCAGGACGATCGTTTCTGCTGGCGAATATTTTTATCAGCGGCGGTCGCTGCTGGCGACAATCGCCGCCGCGACGCTCGCTGGTGTGACGCTCTCTGCTGGCGATGCTCTCTGCTGGCGACGCTCTCTGTTTGCGACGTTTACTGCTGGTCTCTGCTGGCGACGTTCTCTGCTGGCGACGTTCTCTGCCAGGCAGCTGCCCGTTTGGTCTGCCAGCATGCCATCAGCCGCCGCCTCTGAAGCTAAGTCCATGCCCCCCCGCACGCACCCCCTTGCTGCTTCGTTGTACTTCGCCCCTTCGCCGTGCATCTCATCCCTCATATTCCCCATTTCCCCCTTCCCTCCCTTCCCCTCCCCCGCCTCCTCCTTAGCCCATGGCACAGGGCGCTGGATCCGCTTGCTTAGAGTCGTGTGTCTAGCGGGTTAGGCTAGTCGAGTCTTACTGTCCAAGTCACATGCACGCGTCGCGTCGCCTCCTCCCCCCAACCCCTTCCCCGCACGCTTGCTTGCGACTGTGTGCCATGGGCCCCCTCCCTTCCCCCAGGCGTGTCTGCCTGCTCGCTCGGCCCAACCGGTTGCGGCCCTCCTCTGCTTCACGCTCTACCAATGCGCCCTCTCCCCTCCGCCCTCCCCGCAGGACAGCTGATGGTCGCAACAGGCGGTCAAGGAACGCCAATCTGCATGCCCTCTGCTGGCTCCGCTGAGGCTGCTTTCGCCCTGCTCCACTCTCCACTCTCACTCCGCCTGCCCCATATCCCTCCCCCCTCCCCTCCCCCCTCCCCCCCCTCCCCCCTCACAGGCTGCTGGGGAGCACGGGGCACGAGGGGAGTGACGGGCGGCATCGGACTAGCACCTGGCGGCAGGCAGTGCTGGCTCCTCTGCGCATCAACGCGCTTTTGAAGCTAAGTCCTCTCAGCCCACCGCATGCACGCGCGCATGTTGCTTCTCTGCACACCCCCATGCACCCCCATGCACCCCCATGCACCCCCATGCACCCCCATGCACCCCCATGCACTACCATTGACTTTTCCCATGCACCACGCACCATGCTTCATGCACCCACCACTCAATATCTCATTCCCACCATCCCCTCCATCCCCCCCTCCCCCTCCGCCCATGGCTCACGGCACTTGCGCCGCTTGCCTAGGGTCCTGTCTAGTGGGTCAGGCCAGTTCAGTCTTAAAGTCGTAGCTGCTTGCATGCGTCGCGTCGTTGTCCTCCTCCCCCCCCCTCCCCTCCCCCTCCCTGCTGCTGCTTGCTCGCGCCTGTGAGCCATGGGCCCCCCCTCCCGCCAAAGCAGGTGTGTTTCAAATGATCTTGGCGTCGCGTGGGCGCCTCTGAGCCGTGGCCACCCGTTGCTCATTTGGTTATTGCGGGTTGCTGATCTTCCCTTGCCGTCCACCACCAGCCCTCTCCACTGACTGAGTGCTTCTGCACTCATGCCCCCCTCCCGTCGTCCCTCCCTCCAGGTGCCTCTTGAAGGACGCAGCTGGCAGGAGCAGCTGGCAGGAGCAGCTGGGAGGAGCAGCTGGCAGGAGGACCGCTGTTGGTGCTGCCGGTGCTGCACCTGCCGACTCCACTCGCTCTGTCCTCCAGCTAAGTGGCTTCTCCTCCGCTCACCCCCCTTTGCACCCAAGGACCTGCTATGCCATGGTCTTTGCTGCTCTCATTTGCTTTGCTGCTGCCAGTCGTTTTCTCCCTCAAACAGTGCCACTGGTGGCAGCACGGTGTGCAAGCCACAGACCCCACTTCTGCAGGCAACCCCCTCAGGTACAGCAGGTACAGCCCTCAGGTTCAGCCACAAGCCCTCGGGTATAGCCCCCTTGGGTCTTGCTTGCTCTCTCAAAATGCTGCCACTGGTTGGGGCCCGCCTCACAAAACACAGACCTCCCCACCCCCCCCCTACTGCAGGTAACCCCTCAGGTTCAGGTGCCTTACAGACCCCCCAGGTTCACCCTCCCTTGCAGGTTCACCCCCAGGTTCCCTTGGGGGTCTGTGGCTTGTGTTGTGCCTCCGCCAGTGGCCACCACCCTCCTTCCTCTCCTTTCGGCATCGCTTGCACACCTCAATTCCCAACTGCGTTTCACTCCTCCTTGAAATAAACTTCCTCCCCTCTTCTCCCCCCACCCTCCCCTCTTCCCTCCCCCCCCCCCTCCCCCCCCCTCTCCCTCCCCAACACAACACACACAGCAGGACCTGTGTTGGCAATATCGGCAAGCGCCTGTGCAGTGGCTGCTGTGACTGCAGGGGGAGGGGCGTGAAGTGGGTGCTGTGAAGCGCTTCAGTGGCCGTGCAGAGTACCCATGGGGAGCAGCAGCAGCAGCAGCAGCACATCTGGTGGCTTCTGGCTGCAGGGAGTAGCGGGGGAGGGGAGGCGAGGGGATGGCAGTCTGGCAGACATCTGCTCTCAGCGGTGGTTAAACCTCTAGCTCAGAAAATTGTTCTCGAGCCTTGGATGCTGCTCGCTCGCTGCTCTCGTCATCCCTGTGTTCGCTGCTCTCGCTGCCCCATTCTTCTATGCTCGCTCCCTCAAAATCTCGCCACTGGTTGAGCCCTGGCTCTCAAGTCACAGACCCCCCCTCCCCCTCCCCTCCTTTCTTTCCCCTCTACTGCAGGTAACCCCGCAGGTTCAGGTGCCTTACAGTCCCCCCAGGTTCACCCGCTACTGCAGGTGCAGCCCCTCAGGTTCCCCTGGCGGTCTGTGACTTGTGGCGGTGCCTCCACCAGTGCCCCCCTCCCTCCGTCCTCTCGTTTCTGCATCGCTTGCCCACCTCAATTCCCATCTGTCTTCCACTTCCTCCTGGACTTAACCGCCTCCCCCTCCCCCCCCCCTTCACCCTCCTCTCATTTCGTCCCCTCCATCCTCCTCCTCCGCCCCCTCCCCCCCCCCCAGGGGCTCTGCTGGCGGATCTGCAAGCGCCTGTGCAGTGGCTGCGGTGACTGCAGGGGCAGGGGAGGGGCGTGAAGTGGGCAAGTGGAGCTCTTGAGTGGCGGGAAGCAGAGAGGGCTGGGGGTGCCAGCTGGGAGCACACAAGCAGCCACAGCAGATAAGTACATTAACACACACACTCTCTCTCTCCCTCTCTCACCTCTCGGCTGCTTTTACTCGCTTTCTCTGATTTTGCAACACCCGGGCATGCGCTCACACACCGTGCCCACCTCATCATTCCATCCCTGCTGCATGCATCCCCTTCGAAACGAAACCACTTGTAGCAGTCTAGCTCACATGGTGCACACCCGCCCACCCCCCACCCCCTTATCCAGGTGCGCCCCCCCTCCCCCCCCCCGCCCCCCCCGCCCCCCGTCTCCAACCCAAGGTTAAGCCTACCCCTAAATATTTACTACATATTACCCCTTCTTTAATACACTCCCCCCTCGGGTGTGCACCATGTGCCTAGTGCTGCTCCAATGGTCCCTCTGCTGCTATCACCTGCCACCCACCCATGCTCATCTCTCACGCCTCTACCCCTAGCTGCTTACTCACCGCTCTACAGTTTTCTCCTTGCAGGTTGAGGGGGGGTTGTGGGGGTCAACACCACCAATCCCCTGCGCCCCTTCCCTGTGGCCGTGCAGGTACATGCACACGGGAAGCTGGAAGGGAAGCTGCCATGAGGGAGAGTATCTGGGGTGGGGTTGGCCTCTCAAGGTACGCCCCTTTTCACCAGCCGCTCTTGCTGCTGCAGATGATGTCTGTTCACTGTCCTTCCTGCACTTGCATGCTTTGGCTTCCCGTTTCTCCCAATGCTAGGCCTGTTGAAAGCTCCCCTCAAACTTGTTCTTCTGCTTCTCCCTTCTGCCCCCCTACCAGGTCACTTGGCATCACTTGAAGACTGCAGCAGAGGAAGCTGAGAAGCTGACAGCAGCAGCAGCAGCAGCAGCAGCAGCAGGGGCTGGGTGGTCAAAGGGCAGGCTAGCAGGCTAGGATAAGGAGTGGGGGAGGTATGGTACCAGGTCAGGTATGGTTGGTCGCCTCACCTCTCTGTTTCCGCCCTTCCTTCCTGCAGCATGCAGATCTGGAGCCTTGGAGCAAGGGCGGGAGAATGGAGCAAGGGCAGGAGATTGGAGGCCACCCTCTCTCTCCTTCCCCCCTCCCTTCCCTGCAGCAGCGTCGTCTGCTGGGGAGAGTGCAGTCCCCATCCCTCCCTCACCTCCCCATCCCCCCTCCCTAGCGGTTGCAGCATCATGGTGCTCCATTCGGCTATGGTAGGTGGACCGTGGAGGTAAGGGGTGTTGAAGTGAGGGGATTGGGGAAGGGGGAGAGCATAGGAGCGAGCAAGCATGCAGCTCACTCCCTTAGGGGCAGCACCCTCTGTGGTTCCTTGTGTGTTGGTCATGTGTGGTCAGTGGAAAATGCGTGGCACGGCAGTCGGTGCTCAAGTAACAACACTGGCGTATCGTATAATGGAACCGGCCAGAGCCGTGCGCGCCGGCTCTGGTTGGGAGTCCCCTCCTACGACGCTTCCGTCACGGGATTTGAGTCTTGGGCCGCCCGTGCATTTTCCACTGCCATGCTCGCATCACAAGGCCGAGCCATGGGGGGTGCTGTTTCCGAAGGGGAGTGGGTTGCATGCTGCTCCAAGTGCTCGGGGGGGGGGGGGGGGGGGCTGGGAGAGGTGGAGTGGGATGATGGTGTGGCGGTTATTGGGGACTTGAAACCCTCCAGGTGAGTTGTATGAGCGGCAATCGAGGCGGCTGCAACCACCAATGTAAGCTGGGTGAGAGGGAGTTGAGAAAGGAGGCCTGAAACCGCCATGGTAACTCGAGTGAGGAGCAAGGCAGGGCGGCGACAATCACCAATGTAAGTCCAGTGAGAGGGAGTTGAGAAAGGGGGCCTGAAACTCCCGGGGTAACTCGAGTGAGGGGCAAGGGAGGCGGCTGCAACCACCAATGTAAGTTGGGTGAGAGGGAGTTGAGAAAGGGGGCCTGAAACCCCCAGGGTAACTCGAGTGAGGGGCAAGGAAGGGCAGCCGCAACCACCAATGTAAGTTGGGTGAGAGGGAGTTGAGAATAGGGGACTGAAACTCCCGGGGTAACTCCAGTGAGGGGCAAGGGATGGTGGCGGGAACCACCAATGTAAGTTGGGTGAGAGGGAGTTGAGAAGGGGGACCTGAAACCCTCGGGAAAACTCGAGTGAGGGGCAATGGAGGAGCAAAGGAGGGGCAGTGTAAACCCCACGGTAGTGTGGGATGAAGGTGGGATCAAGGCAGGGAAGGGCGGATGGGACCCCTGGTGTAAGCCTTGTGAGGGGTAGGGGGGGAGAGGGGGGTTGGAACCGCCAGGTTAAGGCGAGCAAGGGGCAGAGGGACCCCCCTCCACTGCCTTTGGTTCGCTTCGACCTGGGGGTTTCAACCCCCCTTTCTAGCCTCTCGATTGCCTTCCCCCGTCCCATGTCTTGCCCCCGTCCTAGGGTAAGTTGAGTGAAGGGCAAAGGGAGGGGCCTGGAACCCCCACCCAGGGTTAGTTGAGGGAAGGCCAAAGGGAGGGGGCTGAAACCACCAATGACGGTCCAGTGACGGGGAGCTAAGAAAGGGGGCCTGAAACCCCCGGGGTAACTGGAGTGAGGGGCAAGGGAGGGCGGCTGCAACCACCAATGTAAGTTGGGTGAGAGGGAGTTGAGAAAGGGGGCCTGAAACCCCCGGGGTAACTCGAGTGAGGGGCAAGGGAGGACGGCTGCTACCACCAATGTAAGTTGGGTGAGAGGGAGTTGAGAAAGGGGGCCTGAAACCCCTGGGGTAACTGGAGTGAGGGGCAAGGGAGGGCGGCTGCAACCACCAATGTAATTTGGGTGCGAGGGAGTTCAGAAAGGGGGCCTGAAACTCCTGGGGGTAACTCGAGTGAGGGGCAAGGGAGGGTTGCTGCAACAACCAATGTAAGTTGGGTGAGAGGGAGTTGAGAAAGGGTGCCTGAAACCCCCATGGTTACTCGAGTGAGGGGCAATGGATGGGGCAAAGGAGGGCCGGTGGAAACCCCACGGTAGTGTGGGTTGAAGGTGGGATCAAGGCAGGGAAGGGCGGATGGGACCCCTGGTGTAAGGCTTGCGAGGGGTAGGGGGGGAGAGGGGGGTTGGAACCACCAGGTTAAGGCGAGCAAGGTGCAGAGGGACCCCCCTCCTCTTCCTTTGGTTCGTTATTCGCCAACGGTGTCTCACGTCACTGACTCTGCGAACTTTCTGTGCCGAACGTTCCTGTGAGGGAAATTTGCCCGCCAGCCCCCTGGAGGCTTCCGCGTGGCGAGAAATCCCTTGGCTCTCCCACCAGTTCCCTCCACGGCTCCCCTCCCCGCATCCCACGCCTTATCACTTATGCTAGCTTCTCCGCGCCAGCCGAGATTATCCTGCCGTGTATGATTGTTGCAGCGGATAGTGTGCGTACTGCGTGAAGACGTAGTTGCTTGCTTATGTTCCTGTTGAGTTCGGTGCTCTTGACAGTGGAACGCCCACTAGTACCATACTTGTACCCAGGATAGATACTATCCGGAATGGGCGATCTGGATTGGGCGTTCTCCAAACAGGATTTGTTTTTTCTGCACTGATGAGGATGGTCTAGGGTCCTTATCTTAGACGTCGAAACATGTTTGCTTTAATCTTGTGAAGCAGAACTGAGTTCAGTTTTCTGAGATCTCGGCTATTATACAGGCAACTTGTGTATTTCACTGTCAATCTTTTTGCTAAAAGTTTCGATTACACTGCTGCTCTTCCATATTGGCTAACAACATCTGAAATAGGGATCTGACCCAATGCACCCCATGCACACCATGCATCTGATGCACCCATGCACCCCATGCACCCCATGCACCCCATGCACCACATGCACCCCATGCATCCCATGTGCCGCATCCACCCCCTGCACCCATGCAACCGATGCACCCCGTGCACCCCATGCACCCATGCTCCCCATGCACCCCATGCTCCACCCCCTGCACCCCATGCACACCCATGCAACCCCATGCACCCCATGCACCCCATGCACCCCACGCACCCCATGCACCCCATGCACCCCTATGCACCCCATGCACCCCAGGCACCCCATGCACCCATCCACCCCATGCACCCCATACACCCCATACACCCAGTGCACCCCATGCACCCAAGCACCCCATGCACCCAAGCACCCCATGCACCCATGTATCCCATACACCCCTCGCGCCCCATGCGCCGCATGCACCCCTTGCACCCATGCACCCCACGCACCCCAAGCACCCCATGCACCCCATGCACCCCATGCACCCCACGCACCCCATGCACCCATGCAACCCATGCACCCCATGCACCCCATGCACCCAAGCACCCCATGCACCCCATGCGCCGCATGCACCCCTTGCACCCCATGCACCCCATGCACCACCCCCTGCACCCCATGCACCCCATGCATCACCCCCTGCACCCCATGGATCCCATGCACCCCACGCACTCCATGCACCCATGCAACCCATGCACCCCATGCACCCCATGCACCCAAGCACCCCATGCACCCCATGCGCCGCATGCACCCCTTGCACCCCATGCACCCCATGCACCACCCCCTGCACCCCATGCACCCCATGCATCACCCCCTGCACCCCATGGATCCCATGCACCCCATGCACCCCATGCACCCCATGCACCCCATTCACCCCATGCACCCCATGCACCCAAGCACCCCATGCACCCATGTACCCCATACACCCCTCGCGCCCCATGCGCCGCACGCACCCCTTGCACCCATGCACCCCACGCAACCCAAGCACCCCATGCACCCCATGCACCCCGTGCACCCCGTGCACCCCGTGCATCCCATGCACCCAAGCACCCCATGCACCCGATGTCCCGCATGCACCCCTTGCACCCCATGCACCCCATGCACCACCCCCTGCACCCCATGCACCCCATGCACCCCATGCACCCCATGCACCCCACGCATCCCCCCTGCACCCCATGGACCCCATGCACCCCATGCACCCCATGCACCCCATGCACCCCATGCACCCCATGCACCCATGCACCCCATGCCCCCATGCACCCCATGCACCCCCACGCACCCCATGCACCCCATGCACCCCATACACCCTATTCACCTATGGACCCCATGCACCCCATGCGCCGCATGCACCCCTTGCACCCATGCACCCCATGCATCCCATGCACCCCATGCACCTCATGCACCCCATCCACCCCATCCACCCCATCCACCCCATGCACCCCATGCCTCGGGCGGTATCCCTCGGGCAGCATGCCTCGGGCGGCATCCCTCGGGAGGCATCCCTCGAGCAGCATCCCTCGGGCGGCATCCCTCTGGCGGCATCCCTCGGTCGGCATGCCTCGGGCGGCATCCCTCGGGCAGCATGTCTCGGGCGGCAATCCCTCGGGCGGCATCCCTCGGGCGGCATCCCTCGGTCGGCTTGCCTGGGGCGGCATCCCTCGGGTGGCATGCCTTGGGCATTTCACCTAAGCATGTGCCATTAACATGAATAAAATTTTAGGAATAAAGGAGATAAGCTCCTTCACATTCTCGCAGGTCCGCAGGACCTGCCAACTAGTCTCATTCTCATTTCTCTTCTCTGATTGCTTACCTCCAGCACACTCTAAACCCCTCCTATGCCCAGACCTGGGCACAGAAGCACGCTACTTGCGGACGTGATTGCCGCACGTTTTTCTTCCATGAGTGGAGGAATGTTTCTGCTGCAAGTGGTCGTCCTCCTTTTTCAAGAATGAATCTCAGGAGCAACGGACGACGTGGCTCCCCTGTGCGTGAGAGAAGTCAAGCTTCTTCCTCTCAGCGTGATCGTTCCTGCTCTCCACGCAACAGGAACGCTTCTGTTACTGCATTGGATTTGCTCAATGGCACTCGGCAAAACCCCATTCAGCAACCCAGATTGGCTCCCGTCGGAGATCGTAACGCTTCTAATGGTCGCGATTTTCCCCCTGGGTTTCGCGGCGAGCGGCGTGGCGAACGAGAACATGTCGACTTGAACCCGGCTGGAGAAAACGCCCCGCCACCCATGTAACAGTTGCGCGTGGCACCCCTTGACCGCAATCATGACGGTCCTGCGCGCGATGATCGCAATGATCATCGCCATCCAAGGCGCGCAGGTCGAAATGATGAGCCGAATCCTAGGCGTGACCAGACGCGTCAGGAATCGAATCGTCAGAATCTTGACCAGTGCGCAAATCGCCAGGAGCGCCAGGATCGTGGCGATCGCCAGAATCCAGACGCCCACGCCGACTTGGAATCTCGCCCGACAAATCAGCGTGCACGTCAGGATCCTGTCATCATCGCCAATGGAGTTGCAAATTTCACCGAAATGATGGGCCGTCTCGACCCCGCCACCCAGCGAAATTTCCATCGAATCTTCCAAGTGCTGCAACTGGTGAACGCGTTACAGCGCGCTCCTCTGCTTCTACAGCGCCCCGATCTGCAGAACGAATTCCTGCTCGTTACATCAACAACGACAATGCTAATAATGACGCAATTCATCACGTCATCGGTCTTCTCGCGGCCCTTCAGCACGGACAAACCGGTGATCCAGCACCACCCCCTGCACCTGCTCGACCTGCAGCAGCAGCAGTGCCACGCTCCCGCCCTCCTCCCGTCGCGGCCGAACCCGAGGGCGATGGTGCGGACGACGATGCGCCCATGGAACCCTCGACGAAGGTAACGCCGCTCGTCTCAGGTAAGCCCTTGTCAAGTGAGACCTTGCCAATCGAGACCTTGTCAAGCGAGACCTTGTCAAGCGAAACCTTGTCAAGCGAGACCTTGTCAAGCGGGACTTTTTCAAGCGAGACCTAGTCAAGTGAGACCTTGTCAAGTGAGACCTTCTCAAGTGAGACCTTGCCAAGCGAGACCTTGTCAAGTGAGACCTTGTCAAGTGAGACCTTGTCAAGTGAGACCTAATCAAGTGAGACCTAGTCAAGGGAGACCTTGTTGTCAAACATGTGTATTTGTCATGTTTGTATAGACTGTATAGGGTCACCTCTTAGAGGGTACAACACTTAGGTATATCTGTGTGTACTCTCACTCTATCAAACACTTCTCTAATTCTGATATGGTATCACGCGTAGGTTAGGATCCCCCCCCACCTACCGCTTCCGCTTGCCCCCCCCTAGCTCCTAGCCCCGTCGTCCCCCCTAGCCCCGTCGCGCCCTTCCTGGGCCCCATCGCGCCCCTCCAGGGCCCCGTAGCACCCCTCCTGGGCCCCGTCGCGCCCCTCCTAGGCCCCGTAGCGCCCCTCCTGGGCCTCGTCGTGCCCCTCCTGGGCTCCGTAGCGCCCCTCCTGGGCCCCGTCGCGCCCCTCCTGGGCCCCGTAGCGCCGCTCCTGGGCCCCGTCGCGCCCCTCCTAGGCCTCGTAGCGCCCCTCCTGGGCCTCGTCGCGCCCCTCCTGGGCTCCGTAGCGCCCCTCCTGGGCTCCGTCGCGCCCCTCTTGGGCCCCGTAGCGCCCCTCCTGGGCCCCGTCGCGCCCCTCCTAGGCCCCGTAGCGCCCCTCCTGGGCCTCGTCGCGCCCCTCCTGGGCTCCGTAGCGCCCCTCCTGGGCTCCGTCGCGCCCCTCCTGGGCCCCGTAGCGCCCCTCCTGGGCCCCGTCGCGCCCCTCCTAGGCCTCGTAGCGCCCCTCCTGGGCCTCGTCGCGCCCCTCCTGGGCTCCGTAGCGCCCCTCCTGGGCCCCGTCGCGCCCCTCCTAGGCCCCGTAGTGCCCCTCCTGGGTCCCGTCGCGCCCCTCCTGGGCCCCTCCTGGGCTCTGTAGTGCCCCTCCTGGGCCCTGTACCGCCCTTTCCTGGGCCCCGTACCGCCCCTCCTGGGCCCAGTAGCGCCCCTCCTGGGCCCCGTCGAGCCCCTCCTGAGCCCCGTCACGCCCTCCGGCCCCGGCGCATCCGCCCGGCCTCGTTGCACCGGCCCGGCCTCGTCGCGCCCGCTTGGCCCCGTCGCACCCGCCCGGCCCCGTCGCACCCTGCCCGGCCCCGTCGCAGCCGCCCGGCCCCGTTGCACCGGCCCGGCCTCGTCGCGCCCGCCCGGCCCCGTCGCACCCGCCCGGCCCCGTCGCACCCTGCCCGGCCCCGTCGCACCCGTCCGGCCCCGTCGCGCCCGCCCAGCCCCGATGCGCCCCTCCTTGGCCCCGTCGTGCCCCTCCCGGGCCACCGTCCCGCTCGCCCGGCCCCGTCGCACCGGCCCGGCCCTGTCGCACCCGCTCGGCCCCGTCGCACCAGCCCGGCCCCGACGCACCAGCCCGGCCCCGTCGCACCAGCCCGGCCCCGACGCACCCGCCCGGCCCCGACGCACCAGCCCGGCCCCGTCGCGCCCGCCCAGCCCCGTTGCACCGGCCCCGCCCATGCGCTCGTCCCTACCTCGGCCCCGGTCCTCCTCACTGGTACGGTTCCCACCCCCCCCCCACACCCCCCCCCCCCGCCCTGCACTGCCCTGCACCGTACCGCCCCGCACCACACTGTACTGCCTGGCACCGCACTTCACCGCACTATACCGCACTCCACCTTGCTCCACTGCCCTGCACTGCACTGCACTGTTCCTGATGGCGGCGGAGCTTCGCTTCGACGCTGAAGG